AAACACTGCTTAGAACTGGAGAACCACAATTTATAAAGCATTTCAGAGTCAGAGTCTGATCTCACAGATCAGATAATCCTTTATTAGTCCCCACAACAGGGGAAATTCACACTGCTATGTTCTAAATGTGTATAACGTCATCTCACTCAAATCACTGTATATTTATATGTTATGTCCAGTGGTCAAATCTGAGCTGCTACAAAAGCTTCATGATTTAGGATTAATTTAATTCTACTTTTAAATAGAATATTAAATACACCATTAACACTCACTGCTAGTGTGAGTCCTCCACAGTGTGAGTCTGTTTCTCTGGTTCTCAGATCTCCAGGTGGAGGTCCTGAGAGAGTGATAGAGGAGATAAAGTCACTCTCACATGTAGAACAACCTGCAGTCTGACAGTCAGACCAACATTCACCTGGTACAGAAATGGACATCATTTATGCTACGGTACTGACCAACTCCACCTGCAGTCGGTCAGCAGGGATGATGACAAGTATCACTGTGATGTATGGAATCAGAACCTTCGCTCTCCTGAAGTCACTCTTAATGTTGGACGTAAGTAAAGGTTTATTTCTCTGTTCTCAACAAAAAGATGAGAGTCCTGTCAGAGTATCAGTGTCTGTGGCAGTGATCACTCTGAGCAGAGTTGCCAGGTAGTGACTGCAGTTAATATTTACAGCACTTATACTGTAATGTTTGTTAACAGTAATGAAGCTTACATTTTTAATTGGGGTACAAACCAGTATTTATACGAGTTTACAAACTGACAGCAGTACATTACTATAAGCAACACATAACAATAATATAATAATGAAACTGCTTTTTTAAAGTCTTCAGTTATTTTTATTTAAACAATTCTTCATTTAGTTTTTCAAAATCTTCAAAATAACTTATCTTATCACTCTAAAAACTAGAACGTCCTAACAGGCTCCTCTGACAGTAAGTTCAGTGTAGTGTGTAATGTCTGCCCACTGTAAGAGCTGTGGAGCTTCTCACTTTGTGTTCTTATCTCTAAATGAGCTCAGCTTATTACAGCTGACTGTTTTAGTTCAGCTGAGATGACATGGTCTTAGAAATGAGCTGAAGAGAAATCATTTACACATTACTGTGTTTTGTGTTGCAGGAGTTGTTGCTGAGAAAGACAAGGCTGTGAATTACAACCCTGAATCTATCTGTGCTCTAAAGGGGTCTACAGTAACATCGCTGCACTTACACACCTCCAAGCGGTCACTATGTTCAAAAAGCTTTCTGGACTAAAGAGCTGGATAGATCTGGCTCAGAACCTCCTGATCTGTTATATGATCCAGAGTACAGAGGCAGAGTTCAGTACCTCGGAGATGAACACAGTGACTGCACTCTCAGACTGAGTGATGTGAGAGAAAAGGATCAAAGTAAATACTACTTCACATTGATCACAGCCCAACTGCTTCCGGGAGGAAAGTATCAAGGTGGACAGGTGGAGTTGATCTCTTTCAGTCACAGGTAGGTACCTGCATGTATCATCTGTAAAAATCATTCAAACGGCAGATTTCAGAATGTTGATCCAATCAAATAGACACTGAGATAAGCTGGTCTGATGTCAATTCATCGTCTCGACAGGCAAGTTCAGTTAATACATCTAGATTGACTCCTTTGCAGAACACAACTAACAGAGTCGGCTCATTCCACCCACTACTAGCCACAAGTGTGTGAAATACTAAAGCATGTTTGGCAACAGTACAACATAATTTAGAGAGGAGTTCACCCCTAACTTTCCCATCATAAGGATGGTCAAATACTGCGTGGAACTCCTTAACAAATTGTTCATATGTGAGAGTCTGTAACCTGGGCCAAATAGCTGTAGCCCAATCCAAGGCTTTATCTGCTAATGGAGAAACCACTAAGGAAATATTTGCCAGATCTGTACTGGGTGGGGAACTATTAGAAAAATGGGAAGATTGTAGCACAAAGCCTTGGCATTTATCTGGGTTGCTATCAAACTTATCTGGCTTGCTTACAGAAAAATGCTTACTAGTAACCTTGATGGGCGTTGGAACATTACTGGGGTCATCATTACTGGGAGCCATACTTAATGTTTGCAACTGGCAAGTCAATTCTTTGACATTAGCCACTAACTGATCCAATTGCGCCTGTTGCTCAGCCTGTTGTACTGTCAAAGTCTTAAGGGATTGAGTGACTCTGGACAATACCTGCTGATGTTGTCCTAGCAGCATGCCTCGGTTAGCAATGGCCTTCTGAATAGCCTCTGAATCCGCCATTGTTGGCGAAGTATTCCTTAACATGACAGAACTGATCACACTCGCGGAAGTAATTGGAAAAAGAGGCTTTACTGGTTAAAGCATTTCACCAAACTTGTTGTCAGAAAACAGGCATGGGTCAGATCCAAAACAATCCAAAAGTACAACAAGACAAACATAACAGAGCAGACAAACAAGATAAAAAAGGGCAGGAATGAAAGGCAGAGTTGATAATCCAGAAAACACAGTCCGATACACAAAAAGGCAAACAAGACAGGTGCAACAGATCAGTACTCAGGGGAAGAAGAATGCTGATTGTCTGTGGTTGGTGGATCAATAGTCATGTGATCTCCAAGAGAGTTCTGGGTGCTGGAGTTCTCTAGATTGACAGATCCAGAGGAAGGCGTGACAATAACACATGCTAATGTTTGTTCATTGGCAAAAAATTACACATGTAAGTGGCCGTTTATTGGCAGTAAGTTACACATGTGAATGTTTGTTATCACCAAATTACACGTGAGTGTTCCTTTATTAGCATCAAAGTACACATGAGAGCGTATGTCAAGTCAAGTGTTACGACCCGGTCTAGGTCGGGCCTCAACATAAAAATAAAGAGACCTCCGTGCCCTCCCGGTTCCCCAAGTCACACAGACAACCAATGTTTGCGACACTAATAATTTGGCTTTATTTTCAAGAGTTCAAGGCTTTAGACAGTTAGAAACATTAAGGGAGGGAAGGGTAAAATAAACAAAAACACAGCTAACTTAAGTTTAGAAAAATATAACTCACCTAACAAACAAAAGAAAATCAAATACAATTTCTAACCTAACTTCCTAACTAAAGCAAACCAAGAGAAAAAGACAACAAAAAAAAATAACCCCCTCTTCCCCAATGAGAGTTTATGTACAAGAGCTATTGTCTGGGCAGCCACGGTAGCTGAGTGTTTACAGTATACTTCGATGAAAGAGTAACGGCATGAGCTAGCTTTTACAAAAATCTCAATGACAAACAGCAAAACACCAATAAACCATACACCAGTAGCGAAGCTCTCACACCAACACAGCTCTACAGTAGTGTCGCTCAAGTGACTGCAGGGAACCGGGAACGCAACAGAAGCCACGCCAGAAGCAAAAGCACCCCCCACTTCCGCCTGGGCGTCTCTCTTTTATTGGCGGCTCCCCCTGGTGGTGGCTCAGTGCATCTTCCCTCAGCTCTGCAATAAATACAAAAAACACACTACAAAAACTATGACCCATAGGGTCATAACATCAAGTCAAGTCAAGAGGCTTTGTCATTCCATCTATGTACAAGTACACAGTGGAGTGAAATTACGTTCCTCCAAGGAACAACACAGTGCAACATGGAACAAAATACACAGTACAAAGTGCAAATGTGCAGATGTAATTGTGCAAAAAAATTAGACCAGAAACAATACAATAAATACTATAAATAAAACAGACTTTAAACATAGTAAACAGACAGGACAGTGCAGAGCCAACACAGCACTCGTTTCTGAGCATGAGGTGGGGTTATGGAATAAGGTGCAAAGATTATTTAACATGCTGTGATCAGTCAGATATCCTACATGAGCACATCAGGTCCTGAGGTAGGATATACGCAGTACTTGGGTAAACAAAGTGTAAACACAGTATTAGTAGCAATGTTCCAGATGCAAGGAGTGCAAAGAGCATCAAAAGAGGAGTGTGTGTGTGTGTGTGTGTGTGTATGTGGGGGAGGGGGGGTCTTGCGGTCGGAGGCGGTGCAATTCCCAAACCAGGCAATGATGCAGCTGCTCAAGATGCTCTCCAAAGACCCCCTATAGAACATGGTGAGGGTGGGAGGGGGGAGATGAGCTTTCTTCTGTCTCTGCAGGAAGTCGAGGTGCTGTTGAGCTCTCTTGGCTATGGAGTTGGTGTTGTGGGACCAGGTGAGGTTCTTTGTGATGTGGACACCGAGGAACTTGGTGCTCCTGACGATTTCCACAGCAGAGCCAGTGATGTCAGTGGGAGGTGGACACCTTACACTCTTCTTAAGTCAACAACCATCTCCTTAGTTTTTTCCACATTCAGAGACAGTTTGTTGGTTCCGCACCAGTCCGTTAGCTGCTGCACCTCTTCTCTGTACGCTGACTCATCATTCTTGCTGATCAGACCCACCAGTCGTGTCATCAGTGAACTTGATAGTGTGATTTGAGCTGTACTTCACAGTACAGTCGTGAGTCAGCAGAGTGAACAGGAGTGGACTGGAGATTTTGACTAACTGAGGTCTCTCAGTCAGGAAATCCAGGACCCAGTTACAGAGGGAGGCATTCAGGCTGAGCAGGCTCAGTTTTCCAATCAGCTGCTGAGGGATGATGGTGTTGAATGATGTAGGTGTCTCTATTGTCTAGGTGGGTGAGAGCCAGGTGGAGTGTGGTGGAAATCATCTATTGAGCGATTGGGGCGATATGCAAATTGCAGTGGGTGCAGTAAAGCAGGAAGCTGGTCTTTGATGTGCCTCATGACAAGCCTCTCAAAGCACTTCATGATGATTGGAGTGAGTGCAACGGGACGGTGGTCATTGAGGCAGGACACTGGAGATGCACAGGGATGATGGTGTACGCGCCGGGGATGTTTGTGTAAACAAGATCCAGCACGTTAGCCCCCCGGGTCGCAAAGTCCACATACTGGTGGAATTTAGGGAGCACTGATTTCAGATCGGCATGGTTGAAATCTCCAGCGACAATAAACAGTCCGTCTGGGTGTGTGTTTTGGAGGTCACTGATAGCGCTGTACAGCTCGTTCAGTGCGGTGTTAACATTAGCACTAGGAGCTAAATACACTGCCTATTTGCACAGTGTAGTCAACTCTCTTGGCAAACAAAAAGGCCTGGCTAAGTCTGGAGTGGAGCTCGTCATCCACGTCTCCATAAAAACAAAAACACAGCAGTCTCTGAACTCACGCTGGGTAGCCCACTGAATCCGGAGGTAGTCCAGTTTATTCTCCAAGGAACAAACATTTGAGAGAAGAAGAGAGGGAACGGCTGGTCGTCTGGAGTTAGCCATTAGCCTCACTTGCCTTGCTTGTGCCTTCTCGCGCATCGCTTTCGGCCAGCAGGCTCACGCAGCGCTGTGGATCATAGCAGGGCTAGCTTGTTCAGCTCTTCCCGCAGTCTGTCTGGAAGCAGAGATTGTGGCTGATTTCTCAGCTGTGGCAGGCTCTGGCGATGGTAGACGTTGGTGCTGGTTGTAGCAGTCATGGTTTTAGAGTTTAGATCTGGTGTACACAACAGATAGTAAAACAAAATAGCAAAAATATACTGATTTGTTTTTCCTGAAGTGGCCGCTGCAGCTCCACGCCTCCCCGCCAGAACCAGATGTTTCTTTATTGGCCAGAAATTTTGTAGGGTTACAGGCGCTCTGTTACTCTCACATTTGTAATGCTTATCATCTATGTGTGTCACAAACAATGAAAGAAGAAGAAGAAGAAGAAGAAGAAGAAGAAGAAGAAGGAGAAGAAGAAGGAGAAAAAGAAGAATTGAATTTGTCTAATCAGGTCAATGATGCTTGGCCAGTGATCTATGTGCCAAAATCAAACGCATTTCTTCACTAATATTTTATTGCTTTCTTCCGATACTCACAGCAGCTCATGCTGCAAGAACAATGTGAGCACCTGTAAGGAGTAAAATGTAACAGGAAAATTAAGCAGACAGGACATCACCACCATTTTTGCTGTGGTATAGTTCTTTGGTGCCGACCTCAATATGGGTGGAGTGTTCACATGTTTGTTTAACAGTGTAGCAGTACTGAAACATAAACAATCTGACATTAATGTATCCACATACAGGAACTGTGAACCTGGACATTAATCTGTGTATTACATTAAAACCATTTTACCATTTTTACCAGATTAATGAACTGCAGCTCCTCTCTTTAAGCATGAACTCACAAAGATTTTACTGCTTGGGAAAACTCAAACTGAAATTGAGATGAAAGTGAGATTTTGATTGGTTCTGCCAATGAGTTTGTTTCTCATTGTCTATAGGTTAGGGCTTCCTGCAGTTAAGGGAGAGTGATTTTCTTTTGTTTTGTTTTTCTTGTTGGCATCCTCAATCAACACAATCAAAAATTGGTGGGTCAAATATTTGCCTGCCTCTGTGGCTCCAGCAGCCCTGATTCAAGACCCCACTGATACACTCAATCAGCTGATATGAGTTATCCACAGTAACGTTTGAGTTTTTTCTTTTTGGTAAACAATTTGTTCTCTTGCACTCAGATCTCCAGGTGGAGGTTCCTGAGAGAGTGATAGAGGGAGATAAAGTCACTCTCACATGTAGAACCAGCTTCAGTCTGTCTTACAGTCCAACATTCACCTGGTACAGAAATGGACATCGTTTATCCTCCAGTACTGACCAACTCCACCTGCAGTCGGTCAGCAGGGAGGATGCAGGCAGGTATTACTGTGGTGTATGGAGTCAGAACCTTCTCTCTCCTGAAGTCACTCTTAATGTTGGACGTAAGTAAAGGTTTATTTGTCTGTTCTCAACAAAAAGATGAGAGTCCTGTCAGAGTATCAGTGTCTGTGGCAGTGATCACTATTAGCAGGTCTGCAGAGTTGCCAGGTAGTTAATATTTACAGCACTTATACTGTAATGTTTGTTAACAGTAATGAGAGCTTACATTTTTAATTGGGGTACAAACCAGTATTTATACGAGTTTACAAACTGACAGCAGTACATTACTATAAGCAACAATAACCCAATAAATATAATAATGAAACTGCTTTTTAAAGTCTTCAGTTATTTTTATTTAAACAATTCTTCATTTTAGTTTTTCAAAATCTTCAAAATAACTTTATCTTATCACCTCTAAAAAGCTAACGTCCTAACAGGCTCCTCTGACAGTAAGTTCAGTGTAGTGTGTAATGTCTGCCCACTGTAAGAGCTGTGGAGCTTCTCACTTTGTGTTCTTATCTCTAAATGAGCTCAGCTTATCACAGCTGACTGTTTTAATTCAGCTGAGATGACCATGTCTTAGAAATGAGCTGAAGAGAAATCATTTACACATTTCTGTATTTTGTGTTGCAGGAGTTGTTGCTGAGAAAAACAAGGCTGTGACTTACAACCCTAAATCTATCTGTGCTCTAAAGGGGTCTACAGTAAACATTGGCTGCACTTACACACCTCCAAGAGGTCACTCAGTCCAAAAAGCTTTCTGGACTAAAGAGCTGGTTACATCTGGTTCAGAACCTCCTGATCTGTTAGATGATCCAGAGTACACAGGCAGAGTTCAGTACCTCGGAGATAAACACAGTGACTGCAGTCTCAGATTTAAGACTGTGAGAGAAAAGGATCAAAGTAAATACTACTTCAGATTTATAACAGACCAACCTGGAGGAAAGTATCAAGGTGCAGGTGGAGTTGATCTTTCAGTCACAGGTAAGATCCATCAGCAGAAATAATGGTTTATGCAAGACCTGCATGTATCATCTGCAAAATCATTCAAACGGCAGATTTCAGAATCTTCTTTTTTTATGCAGCATGTAAAGAATCATCTTTTTGAACTGATCAAGTGAGCACAAAGCTTCAGTTTGCGCCCCATTAAAAATATCTGTGCATTATGTGCCGTTATGAAATCTGAGTTGGAGCGAACTTTAGGGTTTAGGTTTAATTTTAGCTGCTACTTCTGTGTAGAAATTTAAGACAGGGGTGGCGCCACACCTCCAAAAGTGGAGGGGCAGAACGTTTTGTTACGTCTACGTGACTCTTCATTTATTGGGACAAAGTTACACGTGTGACTGTTCATTTATTGGCACAAGTTACACGTGTGACTGTTTATTTATTGGCACAAGTTACACATGTGACTGTTTATTTATTGGCACAAGTTACACGTGTGACTGTTCATTTATTGGCACAAGTTACACGTGTGACTGTTTATTTATTGGCACAAGTTACACGTGTGACTGTTCATTTACTGGGACAAAGTTACACATGTGACTGTTCATTTATTGGGATAAGTTACACATGTGACTGTTCATTTATTGGCACAAAGTAACAACATAGACTCTTCCACCTCCAGCGGTAGCCAACGGCTGAAGTCGCTTCTTATTTTTCAGCTTCTCGTTCTCATTTTCCCGTTCCACCTTAAATGGTGCCTGAGGCGCCAGAATGTAACTGCTGCACTTAAGGTGGAACGAGAAAATTCAAACAAGAAGCTGGAGAACGAGAAACTGACTTAGTTTCACCTGTTTTTTTAGTGTTTGACAGTTTCTCATTATAGATTAAACGTATCAGGAAACCAGCTGTAGTGATTATAGATGCAAATAAGGCTATTCGTCTCCAAATTATTGATGTTCGTCTTCAATCTCTCTCTTGCCTTTTCATTAGCTACTAGCTAGGTGAACTAGCAATTATAGGCTACATTAATTTCAGCGTTTAAGATGAATTATTATTAAAACTGTGCTGAACGATCAGTAGAGCTTTATTTTACTGCAAAGGAGGATTATTTTATTTTACCTAGAAATCTAATTCTGCTGTGGAGCCGAAGGTTGCTGACCCCTGATCTAGTGTATGGAAGCACTTCAGCTTATATGGAGTTGAGGGAGGAAACCATATTAGCATGTTTCCACCCATTTTCCGACCGGTTATGGAATAAGCTTCCACCAAACTCGGAAAGGACAAAGTGAACTACAAACTCTATCACAACTTTTATTGCCAAGGATTTGCGTCCGTTCTCAGTCTTTGAGAACCAGGGCTTTCGCACTATGTTGCACACTTTGGAGCCGAGATAAAGCGTCTCATCTCATCTCTATAACGAGACCAAAACCGAAGTTACAGCTAGAATCACGTAGGAAAAACGGGTAGAATAGCTGTAATCTGCTGCATGGACATCCAGTGCCACAGAATCTTATTTCACCGTAGCAGCACATTTTATCACAGATGAGTGGCAGCAGAGTCTCACATGCACCAAACAGCAATGAATGAGAGCCCTCCAGTTAACCTGGCATATTGCTTCCGGTTGATTTATTAATAAAAAATATTGGAAGTAAATTCATTATGAATCATTACAAATACTTTGCTTTAAAAAGTTCCAACTTGTCACTCAGTGAGAAAAAGTGAAATCCTCTATAGAAAAAAAAGATGCATCAAGATGCATCGATAATCGTTTTATAATCGCATCACAGCCTCAGAATCCCAATCGAATCGAATCGTGAGGTGCCTAGAGATTCCTACCCCTAGTCTCCAGGTTGGTCCTCTGTGTTGATCTGCTAGGTTCTTGTTTGGTGCAAAGGTATTCCAGGTTTTTATGATCAGTAAGAATGGGACGGGGTGATTAGCCCCTTCTAGCCAATGTCTCCACTCTTCTAACGCAAGTTTAACTGATAGGAGCTCACAGTGCCCGATCCCATAATTTTGTTCTACTGGAGAAAGTTTGTGACAACAGGGTGTAATTTATGAGGAGTACCTGTCGAGGTTGAAACCTCAGAGACAGGTGCTGGAGCAGTTTTGTCTCAGAGGTTTCAACCTCGACTACAAAAGGCTCAGAGCGATCAGGGCAGAAGTGAACGACTCCTTGAGTTTGTTAAATGTATTCTCTGCTTGCGGAGACCAAGACAATTTATGAGGATTATCGTTAGGAGTGCGGTCACTGTGCTGCTATGGAACTGAAATTATGAATAAAGCAGCGAAAAAAAACAAAAAAAAACAAGCAAATCCCAGAAACTGCTGTAGTTCTTTAATTGACGGGGGAATGGGCCAATTCATTTGCCTCAATTTTGTGGTCATCCATTAAAATGCCATTAGAGCTAATGACATAACCTGAAAAGGTCACAGACTGCAAGTGGAATTCAGACTTTTCAGCTTTAACATAAAGATTATTGTCTAGAAGGCACCTCAGGACAGAGCAGACATGACTAACATGAGTAACAAGGTCAGGGGGGTAAATGAGAATGTCGTTGATGTAAGCAATTACATATTTCACACAGCACTTTATTAATGAAGGCCTGAAACACAGACTGAGCATTTGGACAGACCGAACGACAGTTCGGTCCGAAGTACTCGTAGTGCCCTGTAGCGGTGATGAAAGCGGTTTTCTATTCATCTCCCTCTCTTATGTGTACTAAATTATAGGTGCTCCTTAAATCTAATTTTTTGAAGTGTCTCATGCCTTGGAGTTGTTCTACAGCTACTGGAATGAGAGGAACAGGATACGGGTATTTTTTGGAGATTTGATTGAGGCCTTGGTAATTCATACGTGGGCTTAATGAAAAAGATACCAGAAGCTACAGGCCAAACAAATCCTTGTTCTAATGCCTCCTGTTTGTAAGTGTCCATGTGTTTTTCCTCTGTCTGGGTTAAAGGATAAACTCTAGATTTGGGTAAAAAGAAGCAGTTTTAATTAAATCAGTTGCACAATCATACTGATGATGGAGAGGCAATTTGGTGGCATTACCCTTACTGAAAACCTCTAGAAGGTCAGTATAACCAGCAGGTATGTTAGTGTTTATTTCAGTATTGGGGCTCTCACTGGAAGTTGATATGAGGGAAACGGAAGGGAGTGTTAAACAATTATGATGGCACAATTCTGACCAGAGCAGGATTTCATGGTCGGACCATGAAATGCACGGGTTGTGTTTCTCTAGCCAGGGCAGAGCTAGGATGACAGGGAATTCAGAAGAATTGAGGAGAAAGAAGGAAATAAGTTCTTGGTGTAAGGCACTAGTGCTCAGCTTAACTAGCTCAGTGGAGACAAACATGATGAGTCACACTGCATAGGTTCCTCTCAATCGCTGGTAGTGTAACTCTCCAGTCTTCTTTGGGAAAGTTGACGATGTGACATTCTTTCGTTGAGTCATGCGGTCCCAGGCTAGTTGATCCAATCAAATAGACACTGACATAAGCTGGTCTGATGTCAATTCATCGTCTCGACAGGCAAGTTCAGTTAATACATCTAGATTGACTCCTTTGCAGAACACAACTAACAGAGTCGGCTCATTCCACCCACTACTAGCCACAAGAGTGTGAAATACTAATGCATGTTTGGTAACAGTACAACATAATTTAGAGAGGAGTTCACCACTAACTTTCCCATCATAAGGATGGTCAAATACTGTGTAGAACTCCTTAACAAATTGTTCATATTTGAGAGTCTGTAACCTGGGCCAAATAGCTGTAGCCCAATCCAAGGCTTTATCTGCTAATTGAGAAACCACTAAGGAAATATTTGCCAGATCTGTACTGGGTGGGGAACTGTTAAGAAAATGGGAAGATTGTAGCACAAAGCCTTGGCATTTATCTGGTTTGCTTACAGAAAAATGCTTACTAGTAACCTTGATGGGCGTTGGAACATTACTGGGGTCATCATTACTGGGAGCCTTACTTAATGTTTGCAACTGGCAAGTCAATTCTTTGACATTAGCCACTAACTGATCCAATTGCGCCTGTTGCTCAGCCTGTTGTACTGTCAAAGTCTTAAGGGATTGAGTGACTCTGGACAATACTTGCTGATGTTGTCCTAGCAGCATGCCTCGGTTAGCAATGGCCTTCTGAATAGCCTCTGAATCCGCCATTGTTGGCGAAGTATTCCTTAACATGACAGAACTGATCACACTCGCGGAAGTAATTGGAAAAAGAGGCTTTACTGGTTAAAGCGTTTCACCAAACTTGTTGTCAGAAAACAGGCATGGGTCAGATCCAAAACAATCCAAAAGTACAACAAGACAAACATAACGGAGCCGACAAACAAGATAAAAAAGGGCAGGAATGAAAGGCAGAGTTGATAATCCAGAAAACACAGTCCGATACACAAAAAGGCAAACAAGACAGGTGCAACAGATCAGTACTCAGGGGAAGAAGAATGCTGATTGTCTGTGGTTGGTGGATCAATAGTCATGTGATCTCCAAGAGAGTTCTGGGTGCTGGAGTTCTCTAGATTGACAGATCCAGAGGAAGGCGTGACAATAACACATGCAAATGTTTGTTCATTGGCAAAAAGTTACACATGTAAGTGGCCGTTTATTGGCAGTAAGTTACACATGTGAATGTTTGTTTATTGGCACGATTATTGGCACCAAATTACACGTGAGTGTTCCTTTATTAGCATCAAAGTACACATGAGAGCGTATGTCAAGTCAAGTGTCACGACCCGGTCTAGGTCGGGCCTCAACATAAAAATAAAGAGACCTCCGTGCCCTCCCGGTTCCCCAAGTCACACAGACAACCAATGTTTGCGACACTAACAATTTGGCTTTATTTTCAAGAGTTCAAGGCTTTAGACAGTTAGAAACATTAAGGGAGGGAAGGGTAAAATAAACAAAAACACAGCTAACTTAAGTTTAGAAAAATATAACTCACCTAACAAACAAAAGAAAATCAAATACAATTTCTAACCTAACTTCCTAACTAAAGCAAACCAAGAGAAAAAGGCAACAAAAAAAAATAACCCCCTCTTCCCCAATGAGAGTTTATGTACAAGAGCTATTGTCTGGGCAGCCACGGTAGCTGAGTGTTTACAGTATACTTCGATGAAAGAGTAACGGCATGAGCTAGCTTTTACAAAAATCTCAATGACAAACAGCAAAACACCAATAAACCATACACCAGTAGCGAAGCTCTCACACCAACACAGCTCCACAGCAGTGTCGCTCAAGTGACTGCAGGGAACCAGGAACGCAACAGAAGCCACGCCAGAAGCAAAAGCACCCCCCACTTCCGCCTGGGCGTCTCTCTTTTATTGGCGGCTCCCCCTGGTGGTGGCTCAGTGCATCTTCCCTCAGCTCTGCAATAAATACAAAAAACACACTACAAAAACTATGACCCATAGGGTCATAACATCAAGTCAAGTCAAGAGGCTTTGTCATTCCATCTATGTACAAGTACACAGTGGAGTGAAATTACGTTCCTCCAAGGAACAACACAGTGCAACATGGAACAAAATACACAGTACAAAGTGCAAATGTGCAGATGTAATTGTGCAAAAAAATTAGACCAGAAACAATACAATAAATACTATAAATAAAACAGACTTTAAACATAGTAAACAGACAGGACAGTGCAGAGCCAACACAGCACTCGTTTCTGAGCATGAGGTAGGGTTATGGAATAAGGTGCAAAGATTATTTAACATGCTGTGATCAGTCAGATATCCTACATGAGCACATCAGGTCCTGAGGTAGGATATACGCAGTACTTGGGTAAACAAAGTGTAAACACAGTATTAGTAGCAATGTTCCAGATGCAAGGAGTGCAAAGAGCATCAAAAGAGGAGTGTGTGTGTGTGTGTGTGTGTGTATGTGGGGGGAGGGGGGGGGTCTTGCGGTCGGAGGCGGTGCAATTCCCAAACCAGGCAATGATGCAGCTGCTCAAGATGCTCTCCAAAGACCCCCTATAGAACATGGTGAGGGTGGGAGGGGGGAGATGAGCTTTCTTCGTCTCTGCAGGAAGCCGAGGTGCTGTTGAGCTCTCTTGGCTATGGAGTTGGTGTTGTGGGACCAGGTGAGGTTCTTTGTGGTGTGGACACCGAGGAACTTGGTGCTCCTGACGATTTCCACAGCAGAGCCAGTGATGTTCAGTGGGAGGTGGACACCTTACACTCTTCTTAAGTCAACAACCATCTCCTTAGTTTTTTCCACATTCAGAGACAGTTTGTTGGTTCCGCACCAGTCCGTTAGCTGCTGCACCTCTTCTCTGTACGCTGACTCATCATTCTTGCTGATCAGACCCACCAGTCGTGTCATCAGTGAACTTGATAGTGTGATTTGAGCTGTACTTCACAGTACAGTCGTGAGTCAGCAGAGTGAACAGGAGTGGACTGGAGATTTTGACTAACTGAGGTCTCTCAGTCAGGAAATCCAGGACCCAGTTACAGAGGGAGGCATTCAGGCTCAGCAGGCTCAGTTTTCCAATCAGCTGCTGAGGGATGATGGTGTTGAATGATGTAGGTGTCTCTATTGTCTAGGTGGGTGAGAGCCAGGTGGAGTGTGGTGGAGATCATCTGTTGAGCGATTGGGGCGATATGCAAATTGCAGTGGGTCCAGTGAAGCAGGAAGCTGGTCTTTGATGTGCCTCATGACAAGCCTCTCAAAGCACTTCATGATGATTGGAGTGAGTGCAACGGGACGGTAGTCATTGAGGCAGGACACTGGAGATGCACAGGGATGATGGTGTACGCGCCGGGGATGTTTGTGTAAACAAGATCCAGCACGTTAGCCCCCCGGGTCGCAAAGTCCACATACTGGTGGAATTTAGGGAGCACTGATTTCAGATTGGCATGGTTGAAATCTCCAGGAACAATAAACAGTCCGTCTGGGTGTGTGTTTTGGAGGTCACTGATAGCGCTGTACAGCTCGTTCAGTGCGGTGTTAGCATTAGCACTAGGAGCTAAATACACTGCTATTATGCACAGTGTAGTCAACTCTCTTGGCAAACAAAAAGGCCTGGCTAAGTCTGGAGTTGAGCTCGTCATCCACGTCTCCGTAAAAATAAAAACACAGCAGCATCTGAACTCACGCTGGGTAGCCCGCTGAATCCGGAGGTAGTCCAGTTTATTCTCCAAGGAACAAACATTTGAGAGAAGAAGAGAGGGAACGGCTGGTCGTCTGGAGTTAGCCATTAGCCTCGCTTGCCTTGCTTGTGCCTTCTCGCGCATCGCTTTCGGTCAGCAGGCTCACGCAGCGCTGTGGATCATAGCAGGGCTAGCTCGTGCAGCTCTTCCCGCAGTCTGTCTGGAAGCAGAGATTGTGGCTGATTTCTCAGCTGTAGCAGGCTCTGGCGATGGTAGACGTTGGTGCTGGTTGTAGCAGTCATGGTTTTAGAGTTTAGATCTGGTGTACACAACAGATAGTAAAACAAAATAGCAAAAATAAATTGTTTTTTTTTTGTCTCATCAGGTCAATGATGCTTGGCCAGTGATCTATGTGCCAAAATCAAACACATTTCTTCACTACTATTTTATTGCTTTCTTCCGATACTCACAGCAGCTCATGCGGCAAGAACAATGTGAGCATCTGTAAAGAGTAAAATGTAACAGGAAAATTAAGCAGACAGGACATCACCACCATTTTTGCTGTGGTATAGTTCTTTGGTGCCGACCTCAATATGGGTGGAGTGTTCACATGTTCGTTTAACAATGTAGCAGTACTGAAACATAAACAATCTGACATTAATAAATCCACATACGTGAACTGTGAACCTGGACATTAATCTGTGTATTACATTAAAACCATTTTACCATTTTTACCAGATTAATGAACTGCAGCTCCTCTCTTTAAGCATGAACTCACAAAGATTTTACTGCTTGGGAAAATTCAAACTGAAATTGAGATGAAAGTGAGATTTTGATTGGTTCTGCCAATGAGTTTGTTTCTCTTTGTCTATAGGTTAGGGCTTCCTGCAGTTAAGGGAGAGTGATTTTCTTTTGTTTTGTTTTTCTTGTTGGCATCCTCAATCAACACAATCAAAAATTGGTGGGTCAAATATTTGCCTGCCTCTGTGGCTCCAGCAGCCCTGATTCAAGACCCCACTGATACACTCATTCAGCTGATATGAGTTATCCACAGTAACGTTTGAGTTTTTTCTTTTTGGTAAACAATTTGTTCTCTTGCACTCAGATCTCCAGGTGGAGGTTCCTGAGAGAGTGACAGAGGGAGATAAAGTCACTCTCACATGTAGAACCACCTGCAGTCTGTATTACAGACCAACATTCACCTGGTACAGAAATGGACATCGTTTATCCTCCAGTACTGACCAACTCCACCTGCAGTCGGTCAGCAGGGAGGATGCAGGCAGGTATTACTGTGCTGTACTGGGTCAGAACCTTCGCTCTCCTGAAGTCACTCTTAATGTTGGACGTAAGTAAAGGTTTATTTGTCTGTTCTCAACAAAAAGATGAGAGTCCTGTCAGAGTATCAGTGTCTGTGGCAGTGATCACTATTAGCAGGTCTGCAGAGTTGCCAGGTAGTTAATATTTACAGCACTTATACTGTAATGTTTGTTAACAGTAATGAGAGCTTACATTTTTAATTGGGGTACAAACCAGTATTTATACGAGTTTACAAACTGACAGCAGTAAATTACTATAAGCAACAATAACCCAATAAATATAATAATGAAACTGCTTTTTAAAGTCTTCAGTTATTTTTATTTAAACAATTCTTCATTTTAGTTTTTCAAAATCTTCAAAATAACTTTATCTCTTCAGCTCTAAAAAGCTAACGTCCTAACAGGCTCCTCTGACAGTAAGTTCTGTGTAGTGTGTAATGTCTGCCCACTGTAAGAGCTGTGGAGCTTCTCACTTTGTGTTCTTATCTCTAAATGAGCTCAGCTTATCACAGCTGACTGTTTTAATTCAGCTGAGATGACCATGTCTTAGAAATGAGCTGAAGAGAAATCATTTACACATTTCTGTGTTTTGTGTTGCAGGAGTTGTTGCTGAGAAAAACAAGGCTGTGAATTATAACCCTAAATCTGTCTGTGCTCTAAAGGGGTCTACAGTAAATATTGGCTGCACTTACACACCTCCAAGCGGTCACTCAGTCCAAAAAGCTTTCTGGACTAAAGAGCTGGTTACATCTGGTTCAGAACCTCCTGATCTGTCAGATGATCCAGAGTACAGAGGCAGAGTTCAGTACCTCGGAGATGAACATGGTGACTGCACTCTCAGAGTGATTGATGTGAGAGAAAAGGATCAAAGTAAATACTACTTCACATTTATAACAGACCAACCTGGAGGAAAGTATCAAGGTGAAGATGGAGTTGATCTTTCAGTCACAGGTAAGATCCATCAGCAGAAATAATGGTTTATGCAAGACCTGCATGTATCGTCTGTAAAATCATTCAAACGGCAGATTTCAGAATCTTTTTTTTTTATGCAGCATGTAAAGAATCATCTTTTTGGACTGATCAAGTGAGCACAAAGCTTCAGTTTGCGCCCCATTAAAAATATCTGTGCATTATGTGCCGTTATGAAATCTGAGTTGGAGCGAACTTTAGGGTTTAGGTTTAATTTTAGCTGCTACTTCTGTGAAGAAATTCAAGACAGGGGTGGAGCCACACCTCCAAAAGTGGAGGGGCAGAACGTTTTGTTACGTCTACGTGACTCTTCATTTATTGGCACAAAGTTACACGTGTGACTGTTCATTTATTGGGACAAAGTTACACGTGTGACTGTTCATTTATTGGCACAAAGTTACACGTGTGACTGTTCATTTATTGGCACAAGTTACACATGTGACTGTTCATTTATTGGGACAAAGTTACACGTGTGACTGTTCATTTATTGGCACAAGTTACACATGTGACTGTTCATTTATTGGCACAAAGTTACACGTGTGACTGTTCATTTATTGGGACAAAGTTACACGTGTGGCTGTTCATTTATTGGGACAAAGTTACACTGTGACTGTTTCATTTATTGGCACAAAGTTACACACGTGACTGTTCATTTATTGGGACAAGTTACACATGTGACTGTTCATTTATTGGCACAAGTTACACATGTGACTGTTCATTTATTGGCACAAAGTTACACGTGTGGCTGTTCATTTATTGGGTCAAAGTTACACGTGTGACTGTTCATTTATTGGGACAAAGTTACACGTGTGACTGTTCATTTATTGGCACAAAGTTACACGTGTGACTGTTCATTTATTGGGACAAAGTTACACGTGTGACTGTCATTATTGGCACAAAGTTACACGTGTGGCTGTTCATTTATTGGCACAAAGTTACACGTGTGACTGTTCATTTATTGGCACAAGTTACACACGTGACTGTTCATTTATTGGGACAAAGTTACACGTGTGGCTGTTAATTTATTGGGACAAAGTTACACGTGTGACTGTTCATTTATTGGCACAAAGTTACACACGTGACTGTTCATTTATTGCCGACAAGTTACACGTGTGACTGTTCATTTATTGGCGTCAAAGTTACACGTGTGGCTGTTCATTTATTGGGACAAAGTTACACGTGTGACTGTTCATTTATTGGCACAAAGTTACACGTGTGGCTGTTCATTTATTGGGTCAAAGTTACACGTGTGACTGTTCATTTATTGGGACAAAGTTACACGTGTGGCTGTTCATTTATTGGGACAAAGTTACACGTGTGACTGTTCATTTATTGGCACAAAGTTACACGTGTGGCTGTTCATTTATTGGGTCAAAGTTACACGTGTGACTGTTCATTTATATGGGACAAAGTTACACGTGTGGCTGTTAATTTATTGGGACAAAGTTACACGTGTGACTGTTCATTTTGGCACAAAGTTACACGTGTGGCTGTTCATTTATTGGGACAAAGTTACACGTGTGACTCTTCATTTATTGAAACCAAATTTCACTTGTCAGTGTTTGTTTATTGGAACCAAGTTACACATGTAAATGTTTGTTTTATTAGTACTAAATGACACAGCAGAACCAATCAGATGCTCGCGGATGTAACTGGATAAATAGGCTTTACTGGGTAAAGCGTTATCCAAACTCGCCGTCAGAAAACAGGCGTAGGTCAGAACTAAAACAATCCAAAACTGCAAAAAGACAAACACAGCAGACAAACAAGATCAAAAGGGGCAGAGACAAAAGGCAGAGTTGATAATCCAGAAAACACAGTCCAGGACACAAAAAGGCAAAACAAGAAAAACACTCGGTAGCTCAGAACTAAGAAGCAACACCTCTCAGCTTCCTAACTAAAGCCTGAGCTTTAAATACTAACTGCTCCGAGTCACATGACAGACAAGACAGGTGCAACAGATCAGTACTCAGGGGAAGGAGAAGCTGATTGGCTGTGGTATGTGGATCAATAGTCATGTGATCTCCAAGAAAGCTATGGGCACTGGAGTTCTCTAGATTGACAGATCCAGAGGAAGGCCTAACAGTACAACATAGCAAAAAGACAGCGACAGCCACCAACCTTACGAGGAGAGGCAGAATCAGGAGTGGACACAGAGCTGCCATGGTGCTGGACAGAAGGGGTCCTCCCACAACAACGAACAACTAACTACACTAAATTTCCCTGGACATTAGCCTAAACTACATGGGACAGTGATGATCCTCTGACCCAGGAACTAGACAGAGTAGACTTCTATGTGGTGCAAATCTATAGGCACACCCCTCTGACCTGTAGCTCTTGTAAGCTTAGGTTGGGGGTTCATGCTGGCAGAGACAATGTCTCCTGTAAACAAAGCTGCAGTCCCTTGTTAAATACAGTTAAAAGCATGCAGGTAAAACACCACAACTAAAGTTCTCCCCAACACAGGAGACAAGCTCATGTAAACTAGAGTGAAGGAACGACTGGTAAAATACCTAAAACAAATCCACACTTTAACACAAGAGATTATAAACACACTAAACACACCCTCCCTCTACAGACATCTTAAAGGGCTCCTTTTATGGCACAGAGTCCTCCCTCAATTACACTAATGATCAATTATCTGATTAGTCAGAGTTCCTCCACATGGATGATGGAACAGGCAGATACACCTGAGAGAGAGAGAGAGAGAGAGAGAGAGAGAGAGAGAGAGACTAAACGTTTGTGTTTACATGTAACAATTTGGATAAATTGTTATATTTTGAACATAATTTTATAATCTACTGAGCGTTTAGGTTAGATGACCACTGACTTTTGTATGTTTTTAAAAAATCAAAAACCTTACAATACCTTTTGAAATCTGTAACAGACTGCAGGGTAATGGAGGAAAGAATTGGCTTTACAAACGGGGCAGTGAGGGGGGGGGTATAATTTGTATAATCATGCATTTTAACAAAACACAAAAATATTAAACTAATATTTAATTTAAATCATTATATTGTGTCGTAAATACTGACTTTAGTGGTGTTTTTAAAAACCATGTTGTTGCTTCACTACTAAGATCACAAACAGTAAATAGAATTTAGGTAAAGTCGTCTACATAAATACATGAGACTGGATAAAACAGAAGACCTCAACAGAAGCTGCACTGGTTCATGTTAATGTGCGTCAAATACAACCAGTGTTTAAATATGTTAATCAGCTTTGATACAGAATTTTGTGAAAGTGCTCAGTTTGGTCAGCTGAAATACTTGGTGACCCCTGCTGGACAGGATTCCTCCAGCAGGTCTGAAATACATTACATCAGTTCTTCAAAGCACACCTGAGAAAAACACTGCTTAGAACTGGAGAAGCACAATTTATAAAGCATTTCAGAGTCAGAGTCTGATCTCACAGATCAGATAATCCTTTATTAGTCCCACAACAGGGGAAATTCACACTGCTAATGTTCTAATGTGTAATAACGGTCAATCTCACTCAAATCACTGTATATTTATATGTTATGTCCAGTGGTCAAATCTGAGCTGCTGCAAACTTCATGATTTAGGATTAATTTTAATTCTACTTTTAAATAGAAATATTAAATACACCATTAACACACTCACTCAGCTAGTGTGAGTCTCCACAGTGTGAGTCTGTTTTCTCTGGTTCTCAGATCTCCAGGTGGAGGTTCCTGAGAGAGTGATAGAGGGAGATAAAGTCACTCTCACATGTAAAACCACCTGCAGTCTGACAGTCAGACCAACATTCACCTGGTACAGAAATGGACATCGTTTATCCTCCAGTACTGACCAACTCCACCTGCAGTCGGTCAGCAGGGAGGATGCAGGCAGGTATCACTGTGCTGTACTGGGTCTGAACGCTCTCCTGAGGTCACTCTGAATGTCAGATGTAAGTACAGATTCATTCATTCAGTCTCAGAAAACAAACTAAGCTGAGGCTTCATGCTGAACTGTCTGTGATTAAGTTTAGTCCAGCAACTGATCTCTGTTTATAAAGTAATATATCACTGAGTACCTGCAGTAAATATTCATTAGGATGTCACTGTAATATCTGTACAGACAGAACACACTTTAACTGTAAAACTGTAGTTAATAATCTCAGTCCTGCAGATTCTCCTCACTGAATGTTATGTTTTCCTGCTCCAACACTCCTGAGCTCATAAAGGACTTTGTGATTAGCTCGTAGAGCATCAAAACATCTTACTTCCTACTGATGCTCTAGTAGTGTAAGTCTGTATGTATAATGCAGTAATAAGAATAGTTTATATTTCAGTACCTAATTTTAAACTGTTTGATGAAAAATCCAGACGTGTACATTAAACAATCATGAATCATGACCTGAGTCAGTTACTTGGATTACCAGAGCACTTTTTCCAGTATTTTATTTTAATTAAGGATGCTTTAGTAAAGACCATCATCTACCTTAACTGTGTAAGTCTGATAGAACTCATGAAGTCATTAGATTTTATTAATCCTTAAAGAGCCAAGAAATATTTGGGAATGTTTCATTCAGAGTCTTTGGTAAAATTGATTTAAAAGCTGTAAGAACAGTGATCTTCATATGCTGAACTGAATGATGTTTGTCTGCAATAAAACATGAGCTACTTCTACAGGACATTTACAGTTTGCTTTGTCAAATAGAAAAGCACATCCATAGAGTGTAATGTGTCTTTCTACCTCTAGATGGCCCAAAGAGCATCTCAGTGTCCATCAGTCCCTCTGGTGAAATAGTGGAGGGCAGTTCAGTGACTCTGACCTGCAGCAGTGATGCAAACCCACCTGTGGAATATAACTGGTTTAAAGGAACATCATTAGTAGCAAAAGGAGAGACTTACACAATGAACAAGATCAGCTCTGTGGACAGTGGAGAATACAAGTGCAGATCCAGTAATGAACATGGAGAGAAACTCTCTGAAGCTCTAACTCTGAATGTTTTGTGTAAGTTTGTGTTTATTTGCTACAGTTGTACATTATTTTGTAGAAGTTCTCTTTTATAAACATTTAATGTCATGTAATGATTACATCATGAAGTTCTTCTGTGATTTCTAGATCCTCCAAAGAACGTCTCAGTGTCCATCAGTCCCTCTGGTGAAATAGTGGAGGGCAGTTCAGTGACTCTGACCTGCAGCAGTGATGCAAACCCACCTGTGCAGAACTACACCTGGTTTAAAGAAGGTGGAAGCTCACCTGTAGGATCTGGACACAGTTACAGGGCTCTACAGAGTGGATCCTACTACTGTGTGGCTCAGAATGAACACGGATCTCAGAAATCAGCTGCAGTGACTGTCACTGAAAAAGGTATTAGTGATGAAAACACAACCTGAATAACACTTAATAACATTCATAAAAATTAGCATAACTGTAAACTTTAACATTCATCTGCACACAGGAGTTGGGAATTCAGCTCTATATGCAGTTATTGGAGTCACAGCTGGATGTGGATGTTTATCTGTTATCATTGCTGTATTTTATGTAAGGTAAGCAAACAAATCTTTAAAGTTTATTTAAGCACTGGAACCAGTTTCTGTTAATGTATCAGTGAAAAATGTTTCTGTTGCAATTTTTTCACAATATTATTTTTAATATTAACATTATTACTTTTTATATTATTACTTTTCAGGAGAAAGAGAAGAGGCAATTCAGCTGATGATGCAAACCAAGAACAGGCAAGTCAGTTACAACGTCAAAACTTGTTTTATGCAGTAAAGAGGTTGTAGTGACATTTTTACTTTTGTTTTAAGAAGAATAAATATTAGAGACAGTATTAAGTCTATATTCAGTTTAATTGTTTCCTGTTTATCATGTCCATATGCTAATATTGCTAAGGAAAAAAAAAGATTAATAAAATTCAGTACTGCTCATCTCTAGTTTAGAGTGGCACACAGATAAACATCAAATCACTCTATGATAAAACAAGTACAAGTGTTATTATTACCTAAATATGTGTGATTGTAAATCTATTATTGAATCTCAGTGTTTGAGATGATTTATTAATTTACCAAGTCTTTATTTCTGACTGCAGGAAATTCTCTACAGCAACGTGGCAGTAAAACCTCCAACCAGTGATTCAGCAGCTGATCCAGATCCGTCCAATCAGGATGATGCTCATTATGACAGTGTTGTACCTCTGAGAGTCAGAAACCCCAGGAATGCTGAGAGCTCTGCAGTGGCAGCTTCTGCCTTTGGGGCTGATGAGGAGGTTCAGTACGCCAGCGTCCAGCACCGCCGTGATAAAGTGGTAGAGAAGACTGAAGTGGACGCTCAGTATGCCAGTGTAAGATTTAGCCGCACTGGTGCTGCCAACAGGTGAGAGAAACCAACCTTACCAAACTAATTTAGTCCTTTCTAACAGAGCTTCACCCTGAACTGAATTATGTTCAAGTAATGGTTTCTAGTAGGTCACACTGTTTGTTCTGTTAATGCAGGGCTGCTACTTCCACACTTGAGGACCCCTCTTTGATCTACTGCAATGTGAAATAACCAATATTTACAGATCTGTTCAGGACCACCATTATGACCCATGGACAGAACTTCATCTGCATCTATTGGAATCTCACTGGAAAGAGAAGACAAGCTCTCTGTTTCATCTACACCTCCTTTTCTGTATGACCGTTCTGTGGATTAGTCCTTCTGATAGTGACAGGATACTTACTGGACTAACTTTCACCTTTTCAACAGGTACAATTTTCAAGATTTCAGATTAGAAATACTATAAATACTTGAATCAACAAGACTGAACAACATACTGGATATAAAACTCAAAGTAATCAACCTCAAGCGAAATCAAGTTGGGACATCAGTCAACACTTTCCCACTGGTTTTTATTCTAACAACAGTAATACTTGACTCATCTCTACAGCACACCATGTGTAACAGCGCCACCACCTGGAGAATATGGAGCCCAACAATTAAATCATACGATCACCAGTAGTTCACTGACTGCACACAGTATCAGCTTTTACTTTAACTAAAATTTGACTATCCAGTCTGTGTGTTTTGTAGCGCTGAGCTGATTTACACACTGGAGTTTGATCTTTTTATTACTTCTATCACTGATAGAAAAGTGGTGTAGACAGTGTGTAAGATTATTTAAAGGACTCTGATTCAATTAAAAAGCTCACAGTAGTAACTGATGTCAGTCTTACACAGTGATCTTACCATCTAACAAGAGTTTGGTTGCTCAGCCACAGCACCACACTGATGATGAATCATGGGAAAACAGCTGGTTCCAGTTGTACTTTCTATATTAATCTCTGTCAGATTCAGAGCTTTTATATCAGGTCGTGAGGCTGATCACACAATACAACGTCTGACAGAAATCATCCTGATACTGTGAAGATTTTAATTTATTAATAAACTGTAATTTTGAAGTTTTCAGTACAAGCATGTATTGTCAATATTGATCAGTTTGAAGGAAGTACAATAATAGATCTTTTCATTGTTTCTCTCTCTGTTTGTGGTATATTATTGTCCTTTATTGTTCATATTTCTCCCTCCCAACAAGCTGTTCTCCCATTGTGATAAAAGTTGGTTCTGATCCTTGTCAGCATATTGACAGTAGTACAGTACTTCTGTACTTGAATAAAATTAAATATATTCTTGGCAAAATAAATAAATAAATTAATAATAATGCTACTCAAGTAAAAGTAAAAGTATTCAGTCCATATTTCTACTTATGAAGTATTTGTATATTTGCTTAAATGTAAAATGTACTTTGAATTATAATATTATTATATACAATATAGTATATAATATTGTATCAATACACAGGTCTCCTAGCTTTTTAGCTTCTTGTTCAATTGTAGATCACATCCACTGCAGTTTGAGCTCATTATTTTATGCATTTTTTACTTCTATACTGCTATACTGATTTACAGACGTTACACTTTTGTTTTCTAAACAGCTTGTGATGTATAATGTTATGTATTGGCTGAAGTGTGAAGCTTCACATATGAATTTCTATTTGTTTGTTTGTTTAAGTGCTTATTAAGCATCAGAATCCAGTAAGCATTTGACCTTGCTTGATGTGAACTATAGTGTGAATGAATGAATGAATAAATGAATTAATAAATAACTAACTAAATAAATTTTACTTTCTTGTTAAATAAATGTTTGAATTCTGTGGGTGTGTCAACATGAAGTCTACATTTTGCACTGTTTACTGTTAATGTATGTCTGCTCTCATTATTGGGTTTACACACCTCAATCTGGACTGAGATTCCTGGCTGATGTGAAAAGATGACCATTATGTTATTATTATTGAGGAAAACTAAAATTCATAACTGAACAAAAGTCCTAAAATGAAACTGAACTCATCTTAATGTCTGGATTTAAAAAGATAGTAGTTGAGCTGTAAAGGAGTTTAATATGGACCACCATCACTGTCAATGTCTAACAAAGTCAGTTTGATGGCCAAAGCTGCTAAATCGCCATGCTACTCTGCCAACAGGTCCAGGAGCACCTGGAGCACTTTTCCTTTCAGAGTCAGGCACAGCAGTATCCCAGTGATGGCCACCGTCCAGCCGTGATGCTGGGCGACCATCCAAAGTTGTGTGATGTATGACTCCTAGGCGCTTTTGCTATTTCAGCAAGGTCTCCTACTGTCTCCTCCTCAGGCTAAGGCTTTGCTCTAACCTTAAGCTGTTAGCTGCTAGGGCTTACTATATTTACCGCTAGGCTCTGTGAAGTTTTGCTACCACACACACAAAGTCCTGCCCTTCAAAATAAGAGTCAGTGCAAAAAAACACACATACATGTTCTAATAATACACAACTAGTGGGGTAGCTGGTGGGAGGAGACTAAATTAAATTAGAACACTGGGAGGAAAATATAAACATAAGAATGAAACATTTGACAGCATTAAGATCAGCTTTTGGGTGTTTGTGTTTTTTGCATTGACATTACAGTCAATACAACAAAATGACAGCAGTTACAGATGATAAATGACTCACCAACCAGAAAAGATTTGTCCTCAGGCTTAATCAGCTTAGTTCTCTACTATATTACTAAAAACGTTACTTATGGCCCAAAACATCTGCAGTCTTTCATATACATGTTTTATATTTTAAAATGTAAGTGTGTGGTTGAAGGAGTTAAACTGTTCTTTGTGTTTAATAGAAATATATTTTATTCATTTCAATGTAATTTATTTCTTTAATTTCTTTAATTATTTTGTTATTATGTTGTCTTATTTCTTCTTTAGCAGGTCTGCTGTAAGTGTAATATATGAAAGTTGCTGTCTAAGTAAAGCCATTACTGATTTTCATCTGATCTCACTGTTCCAGCACTGAAGATCATTTAGGTTCAATTTGGAAAACTAAGCAAGCTCTCATATTTTTCTGTTTGAGCATCTTTATCTTTATTTCTATATATTTCTCTATATTATCTTTATTTTTCTCTTCTTTCAGAGCTCAATGATGAACATGTTCTTTATGCAGGTACAAAGATACACAAACTTACAGAGCTTTGTTATGTTATGCTTTGTTATTTGTTTATTGGACACATGTTCTTACTTATTTTCTCTCATGAAATCTTATTATTTTCTTGGTAATTAATTTCAGTCAATCTTATATATTTATGTTACTTTCCTCACCTCTCCATGTACACCTTACTGAAGCCTGTAAAAGTTACCTAATGAACTATTTAATTCATTTATTAATGAAATAGGAACATTATTGTGAATGAATAACTGAAATATGAGGGAGCAGAAGAGAAAGATGGATGAAGTGTCAGGTGAGCTGATGCAGAGCTCCAGATATCAGTCAGTCAGTGATGGGCCTCATAGTACAGTGTTAATGTAATTACAGCTACCTTCCTCAAGATGGCAGTACAGACCAACAGTAGATGATATTAAATTTGACCTCACCACAGAGGCCAAACAGACACAGTTCACATTGCTGTTCCCACAATTCACTCCTATAGTGTTTTTATTTTTTTTC